AGACAAGGATTTAACCCTGGTTCCCATCAGTGGTCCTTTGGCACGGGGTGAACGCCGCCCTAACCAGACGCACGGACATCATCTGCCACGCGTTGGATTGGGGCAGACACGGGCATGGGAATGCCAGGAGAACTTGGTTCTGCCCCTGTCCCTCTGGCTGGGCTTCCGTGGGAGCTGTGAGTGCTGCCTGGGGAGAGAGGGGGAGCAGTGTGCCCAGCCCCAGCAAGACACCGTGAAGGGCCATTCGACTCCAAAGGATCTGCCACAGGCTTTGCAAAGTACGGACTTTGAAACATTCTTTCTTTTCCCCAGTGGGAAACAGAGTCACCCACACGCGTGACAGGTTCAATGAACAAAACTCACTTGCAGGTGCTTTGTGCTGCGCTCAAAAGGGGGTGGCCGTACACGCCAACCAGGATTGATGTGCAGGTTACGGGAGGAAATGGATATGAACAGCCGCAAACACCTTGAAGGATGATGCACATCCAGCTATTATTGTTGTTAGGAAACTTGGCTTTGATCAATCAGAAAGGAAGACGGGAAGGCGAAAGGTCATTCCCGCCTGCCGTGGGAGTTGATTCCTTCCAGTGACAAGCAGGCAGCCACAGAACTTCCAGAAGGTATCAAGGCCCCTATGGGATGATTCCGTTTCACCATTGCTACCACGCAGGGGTCACGGTGGTGTGATGGGTTATGAACCACAAGGTCAGCAGTTCAAAATCACCAGTTGCTCTGAGGGAGAAAGATGAGGTTCCAGCGCCCACAAAGAGTCGCCGTCTTGGAAGCCCACAGAGCTGGTTCTGCTCCGCTCTAGAGCGTTGCTACGAGTTGGAATTGACTCGATGGCAGTGAGTTTGGGTTTGGGGTTTTTCGTTTCCGACCCTGCAGTATTCAGTTTACAAAACGTACCTAGCTGATGCGAGCCATAAACTCTGCGAAGCAGGTAGCATCGCCCCAGTTTACAGATGTGAGAACTGAGGCCCAGGGAGGTAAAGGGAAGGGCCCAGTGCTGCTCAGCTATGAGGACGGGAGGTGTTTGGGGCTGGCACCTGAGCACCTACTCCCTCTGCGGCAGGAGGGTCTATTTACCACAGAAGGGTCACCAAGCACAGTGACGGGTGGTCTCTCTTGGGTCCCACCTGATGCTCCCACCATTCAAAGCAGCTCCTGATACCACGAGGCTCTTGGGGGCCAACCCTGCCTGCCTCTGAGGCTCCTCTCTTGCTGCTACAGAAGGCCCAGTACAGGAGGGGGTATGGTTCAGCACACCCCAGTGAGAGGTTGCCAGGCTAAGGCTTCTCCAGGCTTCTTGTGCCGGTTTCCCCTCTGCTGGGCACTGGTATGCCGGGAAGAGCTGGCAGCACATTGTGAAGAGTGGGATGGGGATCTGTGTCAGCTACATGGAGCGCTTGGCTTGCCTCCACGTGAGAACCATTAGAATCATCGCCCTCCAAAGATGGGGCCTTAACTGTGTCAAGGGACCTTAACTTTACGATTCGGAAACAAACCCACGAGGTTAAGTGACTTGTCCCAGGTATTTTAGCTACTTAGGGTCAGAGCCTGGTTTTCTAAACCAGGTGTTGCATAAAGCCGATTAATATGCGTGCCCAGAGGCAGATGGAAAGGGAGGGGAGCCAGCCACACACTTCAGCTTGAGGATGGTAGGAGGGGGAGAGGGCCGCTGTCTGGACCCTGGGCCTTGATACTGGCAGTTCACAGGGCCCTGAAGCAGCCCAAGCCATGTGCTGGAGACTTGTCCGCCACCTTCCCTTCTCTCCCACCAACCACTGTCCAGCCTCCAGCAGGGGGGAGCCTCCAGCTCCTCTTACAGCGTCCCAGCGGGCGGGCACTGCTCATGCTTTCCGGTGCATCTGACTCCCTGCGAGGACAGGTTAACACCGACACTGAGAGTCTGTAGTCTACTTCAGGACTGAGATCTTGCTTGCTAACAAGACCCCCAACAACGCCGATGCCGCCGGCCTACCGACCCAGCGTTGAGGGCGGGGGGCATCGATAGGTGCAGCGGGCTCCAAAGGGCGTGCGTTGTGAATGCTTTGGGGGAGACTCCGGACTGAACCCAATGGAACCCCGTTTCATTACTGCAGGACTTCCCAAAGCCTGGGATTCTCCAAGAGGGAGAAGAGACAGACACCCCTGATTCTTTGAGGCGGGGTTCACGACAAAGCCCGGCTGCTTTGATGTGTCGGTTCATGAGACAGAAAGAGACCATCAGGAATCTCATACGAGGCGGCTTCCACAGGTTTGTGGAGGAAATCCCATGAAGTGCAACCCCAAGTCTCCACAGACTTTTGAAAGCAACCCCTCCCTCCAACCCCCAGGAGGCGGGTTCACCCGTCCTCCCAGCTTACCTCGGTTCCAATGTTTCACTGTCTCCGCTCACATTCAGCCCCCTCTCGGCCCGCCCCGTCCTCTGGGGTGCCTGCCTCTTCCGTGGGTCCATCACCCCCTGTTCCTCCTCCCTCCCCGTGCCCGCACAGGCTCTGTGCCAGAGGCCCGGGGGGCGCGGACCCAAGGAATACCTTTCGCAGACGCGGACCGTCCAGGCAGCAATGATCCACAGCGAGATGCTGAACACCAGCAGCACCGTGCCGGGGCAGATGGTCATGAGGGTCTTCATGACGAAGCGCGTGTTGAAGTTGATCTTGTTGAGGGCGCCGATGCTGCGGGACGAGGCATCGGTGAAGAGCTTGCTGTGCAGCAGCATCACGCGGGCGATCAGGTACAGGCGCAGGAACATGGGGATGGACAGGATGATGTCCACATCCGCCTCGGTCCGCGAGGGCGTGTAGGAGAAGGCCAGGCGCGCGTTCCAGAAGAACTTGTACTCGCCGGGAATTGGGTGGATGGCGCACACCAGCATCTCCAGGCTGATGTACAGGACGCGCTCGTAGGTCATGGCTATCCGCCAGTCGTCCGCGCCATTGTCAATCACGAAGAGCTGGCAGGACAAACAGGCCGTTAGTGGGGCCAGGGCGGAGCGGGGGAGGGGCGGGCAGAGTGGGCAGGGGAGGATAGGGCAGGCTCATCCATGCGGGCGTCCTGGACGGGGGGCCGGGAGCTCTGAGCTCAGGTCCAGCTGTGAGGCCCTGACTGGCACGTCCACTCTCGGGGCCTCAGTTTCCTGCCCTATGAACTGCGTCCCAAAGCCCCTTCCAGCTCCAAGAAGCTCAGCCCCCAAGCTGGCTGTTGGCTGAGGATGAGAAGGCTGACCGCGGGTTAAAAATCGGTCTCCCAATTCTGCCAGCACCATTTGGTGACGAGACCGGCTCTTTCCCATTCAGTGCGTAGGGCCCTTTGACAAAGACCAGTGGTCTGTAGGTGGTTGGGTTGGCTCCATCTGTAGAAGGACATGGGACTCGTACAGAAAAACAAACCCGGGATGGATCAAAGACCTGACTGTAAATCCCAGAGCTACCAGGATCATCAGTGAGAACACAGGGCAAAGGTCGGGGCTGCGCCGGGCAGACACGCTATCCCAGATAACAAGGGTAACGCACACAGCAGATGACAAACAGATGACTGAGACCCGTGACGCGTGAGGCATTGGCGAGCATCCGAGGGCTTCGCTGCAAGAGCGAAAAGAGAGCCCATGAAGTGGGGACAATATTTTTGACAACACAGCGGACAAGGGTCTAATCTCTAAACCCTACGGTGCAGTGCAACGCCTCAACGAGAAAAAGGCTAACGACCCAATTGGAAAGTGGGCAAAGGACGTGAGCAGGCAGCTCACCAAGGGTGACATCCAGGTGAGGACGTGCGCTGCACGATCACTGACCATCGAGTGCGACGACTCCCTGTCAGCCGTCGGTGCCCGCTCACAGCGACCCTATAGGACAGGCTAAGGCAGCCCCTGTGGGTTTCCAGGACTGTCACCCTGTACGGGAGTAGAAAGCCCTGACTCTCCCTCAAGGAGTGGCTGGTAGTTTCGAACTGCTGACCTTGCTGTCAGCAACCCAACACGTCACCACCAGGGCTCCTGCAAAACAGTGGCCAGAATCATGAAGCCTCTCCTGACATGGACGGGCCTGGAGAACATGATGCTGAGTGAAATGAGTCCATGCCCAGAGGACAGATATGACAGGAGACCACTGAGCTCAGCGGGGAGGGCAAGAGCAAGACTCGGCGGCAAAGGAACAGCTGTGGGAGGCTTCGGGATGTGGGGGAGAGGCAGGAGAGCCAGGGGGACAGGGCGAGGGGCTGGCTGTTGACGGACACTGAGCAGGGTGACAGGAAGACAGTGGTCTATGGGGAGTCGGGGAGCGGAGTAGATGGGGGGCGGGCTGCTGGAGGGTTGGATGAGTGGTTTGGACTGTGGAATGCAAAAGTGGTCATTTGAACTGCAAACACCCCCCTCATTTACAGTTAAGAAAAATCAAACAATGTACTTCCCCAGTCCTTGGTCCAGGCCAGGCCCGGAGCAAAGCCCAGGGATGGGGCAGCCCACAGGTGGGCAGAGATTCCTGCCTCTCTTCGGAGAGGAAAAGCAAGAGGCACCACCTTCTGCCATGGAGTCGCTTGTGAGTCATCAGTAGCACGCTACAGGGCAGGGCGGAACGGCCTGTGGAGTCCGAGGCTGTGAGTCTGGACAGCAGCAGACAGCCTCATCGTCCCCTGCAGAGCAGCGGGCGGGTTCAAACTGGGGACCTTCTGCTTAGCAGCCCAACCTAGGCCACCAGGGCTCCTTGCTCCGACTCACAGGGACCCTTTAGAGCAGCAGCGGTTCTCAACCTGTGTGTTGCGACCCCTTTTGGGGTCGAACGACCCTTTCATAGGGGTCACCTAAGACCATCGGAAAGCACATATTGCCGTTGGTCCTAAGAACCGAGACACCGCTCCTCTGGCTCAACCTTCGCACTGACGTTGGCTTTGTTCGCATACTGTCACAAAATGTAGCAATGCAGTTTAGTGCTGTTTTATTAAGACTGTTACCCATACTACACCAGCTTCAAGACAAAAGTTCATTTATTTGTCATTAGAAATAAACATTTCACAATATAGAATCACATGTTTTTGTGATTCATCACAATGCTTGAATGATGTTCAATTTGTAACAATGACAATACATCCTGCCTAGCAGATATTTACATGACGATTCATAACGGTAGCAAAATGACAGTGATGAAGTAGCAACGAAAGTAATGTCATGGTTGGGTCCCCACATGAGGAGCTGTATGAGAGCGCAGCGGGCTGAGGAAGGTGGAGAACACTGCTCTAGAGGATTGTTTCTGAGACCATCAATCTCGACAGCACAGACAGGCTCACCTTTCTCCAGGAGCGGCTGGAGGATTTGAACCATAGATTTCCTTACCTGACAGTGCCGTTCAGAGAAGGGGGCCGGCAACATGCTTGGGGTGGTCCTTTGCTCTCAGTGCAACTGGGTGTTAGTAATGGGGGCTCTGAGGCCAGGCTGTCTGCATTCGTTCATGAACGAGCTGTGTGGTCTTGGGCAAGTGACTGTGCCTCTCTCGGCCGCAGTTTCTCCATCGGGGTGATGCTGCACGGAAGCCACGACTCCTGGCTGCACAGAGTCAATGCTCTGCAAGCATCCTCCATCCAACTCACAGCGCCCCCCACAGGACAAAGGAGAACCACCCGGGGGCTCCTTTGGCTGCACATCTTTACAGAGCCGGGCTGGTGGGTTTGAACCGTAGACCTGGTGGTTGGCAGTCCAACACTTCTACCACTGTGCCACCAGGGTGCCCACTGGGCAGTGAGGCAGCTCTGTGATCTCACGCAGCTGGACGTGGCTCCCCCCAGGCCCTCGCTCTTGCAGGACCTGGGACCTGGGGCCTGTGTTGGGCACTCGGGGTGTTTGTGACCACCCCATCCCTCCCCAGCAGCCCTGGCTGCCTGCCCCAGCCCTCTCAGTGCCCACCCTGCTCCGAGGGCCCCAGGGAGCTGCTGCTGGCAGAGAACCTCACCAGTGACAAATACCCATCCAGTCAAACCACACCGGCTGAAGGTCGTCTGCCAGCCTGGGGCTGCGCGTGCTTGGTGCAGGGAGACAGCGCTGAGCACAGGGTCAGGAGGAAGGGGGCGCGACAGGCTCTGGGCGGCCCTGATTCGGAAAGTGTCCTTTCTGAACAAGAAGCCCTGGGGGGCAGTGGTTCAGTGCTCAGCCTTTAAGCAAAAGGTTGCTGGTGCCCACCCACCCACCCACCCAGAGACTCTGCGGGAGGGAGATCTGGCAGGCTGCTCCCGCGAAGGTACCAGCCTCAGAACCCTCTGGGACGGCTCCCTTCCATCACCGGGGGCTGCACAGTGGCTCACCATCAGGCAAGGACCATCACAGCCACCTCTGAGCAGAGGGAGTCCCCGCGGGGGCAGCCCCCTGACCCAGTGCAGGGAAGCCTGGGCCTTTCCGGTCGCCGAAAGCCCTAATATGTCCGAAGGGTTCCCTCTGCCCTAACTGCCACCCGACGGGCCAAGCCCGGCCAAACTCTGCAAATACAAAATTAGAACCATCCACCCCATAATAAAGACTGGCATCCGGTTGCTATAGTAACTGGGTTCCCTCTGGCAGAGGCCTGAGGTAAGGAGTAACGGATCCCTCTGGTTCCTTGGTGGGCACTGGGGACTGGGCGTGATTTGAGCTGCAGGTTGTATGTCGGGCACATCACAGCACTGCCCAGCTTGGCAGGAAGGTGCGGTGTGGGTCCAGGGTGGTGGCGCCCCCCAGCTTCTCAGGGGTGCTGCTTCTGTTTCTCTTTCCTGCCATGGGTGGGGTGAGGGCCACTCAAGGTTGTGGGGGAGCCCTCGTGTTGGAGGCTGGTGAGCTGGACTGACATGCACAGGTGTCCCAGGGTCACAGCGAAGTGTTCTGAGATCGCCATTCTTCTTAATGCTATCCATAGTTTGCTATGACCCACTCGGCCGAATACCTTCCCATAGCCCATAAAGCACGGGTACACGAGTACACATCTTTCTGATATTCCCTGCTTCCAGCCAAGATCATCTGAGGTCAGCAATGATATCGCTTGTTCCACATTCTCTCCTGCATGTGGCTTGAGTTTCTGACAGGTTCTTGTTGATGTACAGTTACAACTGTTTTTGAGTTATCCTCAGCAAAATTTTATTTGCATGTGATGTTCATGATATCGTTTGATCATTTCTGCATTCTGTGGGGTCACTGTCTCTGGGCTGGGCACAGATAGACGTTTCTCCCAGTCGTTTGGCCAGATCGCTGTGTTACAGATTTCTGGGTGTGGGAGTGCTTCCAGGACTTCATCAGTCTACTGGAACATTCCAATGGACGTGCTTCAGGTTACTGATGATTTCTTCCTGTAACTAACAGGCGTCCCAGTGGCCCAGCATCGATGCATCGGGCTGTGATCCATGAGGCCAGCAGTTCAAAATGACCAGCAGCTCTGTGGGGAAAGCAATGGGGCTTTCTGCTCCCATCAAGCATTGCAGTCTCAGAAATCCACAGTGGCAGTTCCACCCTGCGCTAGAGGGTCGCTGTGAGTCAGCACCAGCTCCATGTCAGTGAGCTTGAGTGAAGGTGAAAACTCACCACTC